GTTAAACACGTGGCTTTCGACAAAAAAGATGGTGAAAAAAAAAACGTCCAGACACGCTGTTCACCAGCCTCATAACTTAGCCGTAGACTTCCACGCTTTGAGTCATTTGAGTCACATTTTGAAGTCATTACTAAAGGACAAAAATGTCATGTGGTTTTAGTGCCCTTAATAACGCTCTTCATGTTTTATCACTTGCTTATAATTAGGATGATTCTCCCTTGGCTACTTCTTAACCAAACTCTACTGCTACTAATTGAAGTATGTTCTTTATTATTTTTTCCAGGTCCATGACTCTCACATATTTGGAGATACCACAAGATAATATGTCCTAAATAATGCAAAAATAGTTGAAGACAAGTGAACTTTCGTACCCTAGAAACTTTTTGTTTGTGTTACGCATATGAAAGGATCTTCTTTCTTTTGAGGGGGGGGGGGGGGGGGCAAATAATTGCGCATTCTTGCGCCAGCGAATAATGCATCATGTCACATGGTTACGCTGGCACTGACAATGGGACGTGAATATGCTGGCCCATGTCAGTGCTTACACCCCTATTGTTGACATAAAATATCCATGTTTTCATTGCAGTGATTACTGTTGGTAATAAAAAAGTCACGGTTTCGCCAAAAGTGCAAAGCATCGAATGTGATAGGCAACATGTTTCAATGTTTTGCGAAGTAAGGCTAGCATTTTAGGAGCAATATCGATTTCCGAAAGTATGTGCTTGTTAAGTAACAAAGTTTTCTTCGGCACAGTAGATGACCCCAACAAGGCTCGTGCGTAGTGATGGCGTTGATGAGAAACGCTTACCGTGGGCAGTGCATGCTGATACTAAGGACTATACGTCGTGTGCCGCCGCTAGGCGGCTGTTTGTTATGTATAGAGTGCATCTATATGTGAACTGCCACTCTAGGTACACTTTTGGCACCGTTTTTAGGTGCCGAGAGCGCAGCCTGTAGAAGCTTCCACCTGCTGTGAGAGCAAGTCCCACTCGCTGACCGTTACCGTGGTAGCGTGGCAACCATAAGCGCCACCCCTCCCCCCTTCTTGGTAGTTCATAAGGTAAGCCCGGTCCGGAAAAAGGCGACGCTCGCTCCGCAGAAAGAGGAGGCTAGGGCATCTTTCCCGGTATATATATATATATATATATATATATATATATAACAGACAATAATGCCAAGGAAAGTATAGAGGAAGTTATTAGGCGCTTACGGAGACTCCCACGTTTAAATTCACATAGATACCCAATAAAGTGGCTGGGGGGATAGCTGTTGTGGTAGCTCAGTGGGAGAGCAACGAACGCGTTATTCGAAGGATGCAGGTTCGGACCCTGCCCACGGCAAGTTATCTTTTTACCCACTTTTCTTTCTTCGCATTATCATTACAATTGGCCTAATAACTTCCCCTATGCTTTCCTTGGCATTATTGTCTGTTATACATTATTATTGTGTCTAAACACGAAAAAACGAGCCCTTAAGTATAAACTTCTTCCCTTATATATATATATATATATATATATATATATATATATATATATATATATATATATATATATATATATATATATATATATACGGTATGCTTTTTTATTTACAATTATTACAAGACAAGAAGGTTTATGGGGGGGGGGTAGTGCAACTGCTGCGAATTTGTCCATTGTCGTTTCGTGAAAAAGTATCATGACGCCAAGCTGAAGCCTAATGCCTTGTAGCTTCCATAGACACAAGATGCCAGAGTTCCCTGTAGTGTTTGCGTGGAAACCCTATTGAGCAAACCAGAGCTAAATAAAGGAAATAAATACAGGGGTATAAAATAATGACAGAAGGAAATATAATGGGATTATGTGAAATATATAACAACACGAAGTAAGACTTCAAGCGAAATAAATGGTGAAGTTAGGGGAAACAAATAAAAACAAAGAAGCATGTGAAGCGAGGAAAACAAAGTAAAGAAAAGTATTAAACGCTAAAACGACAAGACGGCGATGGAAAATAGACAAATACAGCAAGAGGAAAAGCAAGATATTAAAAAGAACTAAGGAGAAAGAAAGGAAGAAAAGTAATGAGTAATAAAGAATGCCACTAATCTCCCATTTTTGCTGAGCCTTGGCGCCACAAGTGCAAAGGTGTGATGAAGTTTCAAAGCAGGATATGCTAATTTTGGGGCAGGGCACTTTTTTTCATAATGTTGGCCCTTGAAACGGAGTAATGCGCCCCAAATATGAAAAAAAAAAACATTCGTATTTTTCAGATAACGGCAAGCAAAGTGAAATTGAATCAACTAGACAAACCAGAACAACCGACTGACAGTGCACCATTATGACATGCCCTTTGACACAAGGCAGCGATGTGGGCGGCCCGAAAGTTCGTGTTGTCACTACTTTATCACCTGCTACCCGGGAAATGAACATGCGCCCCGCAGCGACATTAGGATGAGTTCATAGGTTGGGACAACAACCACCATGGTCGTGGTGCAGCCGAGACTGAAATGAGTACGCGATGGGCCTCGCATGCCGAGCATTTCAAGTCAATGAGTGGATTCACGTTCTTAATGTTATCACCGCATCCCACCACTCAGTTATGAACGCTGTTCCCCGTGGTGGAGCAGTCGGTTACGGTGCTGAGCTGGTGACGCGAAGGTCATGGGATCGATACCGTCCCTGGTGGTCGCATTTCAGTGGAGGGGAAATGCTTGCAGCCCATATAACTGTGAGATGTCAGTGCAGCTTGAAAAGCATCCAGTGGTCGAAATTTCAGGAGCTCTCCGCTACGGCGTCTCCCATCATCATGTCCTGGTTCAGGTACCGTAAAACCCCGATATGATAATAAATATTTTACCAACGGAAACATATAGGCATGCTCGCCCTACTAATAAATATTGATACCAAGAATGTCCCTGGTCCTGACAACATATCATGGTCCTGACAATATATCAAACATCTTCCTTAAAAGGTATGCAGAAAGGGTTGCTAAATATTTATGTGTAATCTTTATTAATCACTGCAATCACGCAATTATCCCTGCAGTATGGAAAACCCCTAAAATTATACCAATACACAAAGCAGGCAGCGAAACCATGGTTTCAAATCACCGGTCAATATCACTAACTTGTTCTGCATGCAAATTGATAGAACATTTGATATTGAAACACACTAAGTATTTACCTAGAAATAAATCATATCTGGTCTCCTGTACAACATGGTTTCCGAAAAGGCCTCTCAACGGTTACCCAACTTTTAGAATTATTACACGATGCAGCCCAGTCCTTTGATAGCCATGAACAAATTGACTTCATCTTCTTAGATTTTTCAAAAGCATTTGAACGTGTTTCTGATACAAATTATTGAGTAAATCAGAAGTTACTCTTGGAGATAGTGTCATTGTTCACTGGATGAAAGATTAACCAAACGCTCACGATTTGTACCGTTACAGGACACCACCTCTAGAATAGCAGCAGTCACGTCAGGCCTGTGACGGGGCAGCGTCTTAGCACCAATATTATTCAGAATAATCATTAACGATCTGCCCCTCTCAACTAAAGTGAAACTAGGGCTCTTTGCAGACGACCGCGTACTTTACCAGGAAATAATATTTCTATGGATCACCTAATTCCTAACAGAGCACTGGAAGATGTACACAGGTGGTGCAAAAAAATAGCAGATGTCCCTTATTACTGGTAAATGTGTCCCCACAACAATAACCCACAGAAACCAGAAGTCCAACTTTTCTTACACTATGGACAACTGCCCCTAAGCCGCAGTCTCTAGCCACAAATATCTAGGAATAATGATTTCAGACGACTTGAGATGAGATACCCACATTGATAACATTGCTAGCACAGCCCTAAAAGGCAATTTTTATTAAAAAACATCTTGAATACCCACCGCCAAATACCAATCTAATAGCCTATACTACCCTCGTCAGATCTGTGTTAGAATATGCCAGCCCTGTCTGGTTCCCGTATATTTACCCACAGATTAATAAAATAAAAACGATTCAAAGAAAAGTAATAAGGTTCATTTTTAACAAGTATAGACTGACAGACTCACTGGCGCACCTACTCAAAAACAGTGGAATTCTAGCACTGCAGAAACGAACAAAACTAACAAAACTAAAACTAATATTTCATCTACTCCACGACATAATAAATATAGATACTTCAAGGTATATATCTTTTTTCACAGCAGACCAAACCGTCATATTCATCCCCATACTCAAGTAGAATACTTTTTTGACACTAATTGCTTTAAATACTCATTCTTTTCTCTAATGATTAAAGATTAGAACTGACTCAAACCCACCTTAACTACTGAATCATCCATAAACTTGTTTACTGCTGCGATTGAAAGCGAATCGCTTGCCTCGCAAAACGCACTAACGACATCGCATCATCAATAAACCCAATAAACGATGAGTCAGTGTTAAGTTACTAATACAAAAGCTTTGTTATTTATGATATTTGTATTTCAAGTGACAAGCTTTTCTACCAGTTTATTGTTAATTAAATTGTTTCACTGAATTGTTGAATGGAAATGCCTACCTGTAGTCCTTACCCCATATTACAATGCATTCATTATCTTCTTGCAGTCGTTTTTAAAGATAACTTAACTCATGATTTTGCTATTACTACAATTGTTTGAATGTGTGTTTTTTTAATGGCAATCCATAGTGTATGATTTGTATGTAATTTTGCAATTCCGGCTTTTTCTTGTGTTTTTTATCATTATGTCTTTGTGTAAATAAATATTCGCTTTCATATGCCCTCCCTGCAATAATCTGTGATGATATTGGCAGTATTGGTAAATAAATAAATGAATATTATTATTATGTCAGTACACAAAGTCCTGCGGTATCGTACATACATTGCTTATAAAAGGACAGCGTGATGCTGGTGAAACGATACTTCCTTCCAACGTAAAATAACAAACACACACAAACGTCAAGCAGTGACGACATAAGCGACAACGTTGTGTCTGCGCCTGTTTTTGTCTGCGGTATTCTGGTTGCACAGGCGCCTGTCGAGGGATTGCTGTTACAGACGAGTCACGCCGCTGAATGTTTGAGCTCTGCAACGCACGCCACTGTGCTTTCGCGTAAACGTGAGTCGGCACATAACTTTCAAGAACCGATCGAGCTGCGAGTCATAGCATCAGTTGTACAAAAGGGGACTTCAGAGGTAAGTGTTGCAATTTTCTTACCTAAGAATTGCCTTCATAGAATCGTCAATATAATTGTGCTCACTAAGGAAGTCTAACAATGCTGCTCTGGCTGAGAAGGCATCAAAAGCTTCTTCGGCGTTCTGAGCATTCGAAAAAGTGTTGTTAGTAATATGCTTCTTCGTCAAGCGTTGTTAAATTGCAGTAAATCAAACGAATACGATTTATATTTAAATATGTTAGGCTGCATAATGTCACGTGGCTAGGACGGGGAAGCGGATCGCAGCAAGTCTAGGCAAGAATTAGCTCTGTGTTTTCAAGAACTTGGCTCCAGCCAATTAAAAGGTAAATAGAAACAATTCAAGCTGTATAGTGATAGGATTGAACTGGACATCACCTGTATGCAGTCGTGGTCCCCAGTGGAACACGTCGTCTCGTTTACATTAGTCATTTAAACTACCGATGTTGAAGAGGAAGCTCGTTTAGGTCATGAATAAAACTTGAGATTACATGCAGGGCGTGAATACACAACGGAATCATATCAAACAATTGCAAAGCTTCTCAAACGTTGTGGCGTGGTCTGCACCAAGCATTGCATACTATTTTCGAGGGGAAAAATGCACACACGATTATAAAGAAACCGACACGCATGCCAATACCAAATGCTGTGAAATTTTTGGCAACTACCTCTTTAACTATAACCCTAACTTTATATATAGCACAATTTATATATGTAACATAGAGCACGTTTATTTTCAAAGTACTCAGTACTGCATGTAGATGGACGTAAAAGAGCAACATTTGTTCCTCAATTTATCAGCATAAGTGTGGTGAAAGTATAGTAACGTAATTTCGGTAAAGCGAACATGAATCTTTAGAAATCAGCGCTAAACGTTTGCACTACTACGCAGACAGATGATTCAGTGGCATAATATAGGAGTCAATGAGATATATCACTGGTTCTCACATTGTAATCATACAGTTCTGGCAGACAAAGTTATAATATCTCTGGCTTAGTTCTTCGAAATTTTTTATGCTCTATTTAAGCTATAAGGAATATTGCTTGCTTCAGTAGTATAGATCATTCGGCATTCAGTTACAGTTACAACATTCAGTTACAAGTAAGGTGCTACGAAAAATCCAAATGTACTGCTATTGCTTGAGCAGCCTGGCACGGGCGAGCAATGGTAGATATTCACCAAGCCATGCGTGTTACCGTAATTAAATATATAAAATTTACTGTACAATACTTTTACAGGCGCGAACAGTGGCCATGCGTTCAGCGACCACAACAATTCTAACGTTTGCCATGGTAATTGTGGCAGCTTCCACATCCAGCGAAAAAGGTGAGATTTCACACCTCTTAAAATAAAAATTAGAAGATACAGGTTAATAAAGTCATATGTTCAAGATTTATGCAAAGACAAAGAAATCTGTCATTACGAGAAATGTCACCCCACTTATTATATCATTCACAAACACTGAGATTCCTGTTTCTAGGCGTGTGCGTGTGGTGGATTGGTGCATAGGTGTGGCTTAATAAGTGTGTCTTTATGGTGCATATATTTGTCGCATGTTATTACAAAAAGACTTGATTTCTTTATTCACAATAATTGATAATTCGCTTTAACAAAAATTATCAGGTAATTTTCGTCATTTTGCAAACATGAAGGTATCGTCACATTTAGTGCGTGCACGGTGAATAAGTATCATTGATTCCCCAAATATTTAGGCTTTTTACTAATTTGTTTGAACTATATCTATGCATGATCAAATCAATATACGTATATTTGACAACATAGTATAGTCCAGTTCATATAAAATGAGGGCTGTTCGATAACGCTTTCTATATTACTGGTAATGAAAATAATAATAAGATCTAACTGACCATAATGCCAGGGAAAGAGTAGAAGACGTTATATATGTCAGTGTATGGTAAATGGGAACATATAAAAGTGGAGGGAAAGATAGCCTTCCACTCATAGCAATCGCACCGGTGGCCTTCGATTAACGCGTCCGATGCTCTACGCCTAGCAGGTCACCTCCAACCAATCATTGTGGCTAAAAGGTAGAGTGAGAGCCTTACTTACCAATCCTTTATTTCTCTGTTTTCCATTAACGCAGAGTGTGTCTTCACGGACCTGGACTTGAAGGGGGCTCTCAAAGCTACCTTTAACTCACTTATCTAAGTACCAAGTGCACGTTTATGAAGACATGAGCTCCTACGGAAATCTTTTAATTATCGAGTGCTGCAACGTAACTGGACTTAGTCATCTACGCCAGTACGGACCACTGCTGCCATACTGCGTGAAAGGTGCACGCAAGCTTCAAGTTGACCTTCTCCATGATGATCCCATTGAAGTGGCCATGAAGTGGTGGACCTACAGAGGAGTAAAGGGAATGTTTGTGCTTGGTGCTGTCCTATCGAGATTTACTCTTCAGTTCGAAGTCATCACAGGGCCATCCGAAAACAGCACTACCCTGAAGTTGGAAGATCCCGTGGTTCCCGTGGTCACTGGCAGAACTTATGCTGTTGTAGGGGACGTTGGAGAAATTGCACAAGCTGCGACAGAGTTTTGGAGCAATATGCTGCCCTCTTTGACAGAACGCGCGTGGAAATACTATTTCTTTGATCACTTACGGCGGGCCATACGCGACACTGAGCGTGACTTATTTAATGCACTTTCACTAGTGACTACGGAAATGGTTAACTTAGGTTAGTTCAATATCTTTGCGAAAAAAATGCATTCTTATCGTTTTAAAAGCAAAATGCGTGCTATAAGATGTTGTCAATGATCACATAAACATTCCGCCGAATTGTTCACCAAGCGTTCGGCTAATAATGCCTAAGACAGCTCTAGAGGCGTCGCCCATATTACCGAAGCGTAGCAGCTATTACTCGAGGGTCTACAGAAAAAACGTTCTTCCCATAAGTTATCTCCTATAACTTCCTAATGTAGGGTCACCGAAAGTGCAGCTTGTCACTCATGTATATAGCGAGTGCCTATCGGTGCTTACTGCTACTATGTGAAAATGCCAGTTCAACCTAAGGTTGTTCCAGAAAGAGTTGGAAAAGGGAATCTGAGACAAAATAATCAGCCGCTGAATGTCCCCATAGCATAGTTTACGAATATGTAGCAACTGTTTACAAAATGGTACCCGTGAATTAGCATTTTTTTGCTGCATTCTAGCACAGACTGCAATTTTCTTCCTGGCTTCATTGTTACCACGGATGAATAAATCGAATGTTTATAAACATGACGACTGAATAATTCTAGAAGTGACTTCCGCTACAGTTTCTTTCTTTAGGTCGAGAGCCTGCTTCAATAAATGATAAAGCTGCCCTCAGTGCCAACAGTCGTTTAGCGGCTTTATCGCTGACACTAAGTGATTCAAAGAGCACTGTAGTAGTGATGTGGTGATGTCATTACAACTTCACTGATGAAGAAAATTTTAGAACTCATCATACTGACGAAGAACATAAAATAAAGATAAAGAAGGCACCGGAAATCTCGGCAGTTACGACTGTTTGGTACGCTTCCAACGCAGAGCTACTTCGGCCGCCAATTTCTGCATGAATTTATTAGCTGGAAGAGCCCGTCCGTCCCGTCAAGATTTATTTTTTTTTCACGCAGTTACCATATCAAAGCAAAAACAACATTCTAGGTATCAATAACAGAGAAACCAGCCACCTCTTTGGAAATACTTACTTCTTTTCGCCCCTCCCTTCCCATTAAACCGATCGGATATAGATGTATGTTTTACTGATGAATAAACTTCGAACTTCAAACCTCAAACTTCTGACTAGAATGAATGTATGAAGGGCAGACACCTTAAAGCATTGTGGCGATGAGATCACGTTAGTCGCAACTGAGAGGCTGTAAAAGCATGTCGTCAAAATTGTGCCGAGTCACGAGCGTTGTCATGAGCCGTCACTGATATCCAGCGCTTCCTGTCGCATGTGAACAAACACGCAAAGGACCTGCACAAATAGAGGGTCTATAGGATTTGCATCGCAAGCAGAAAAGGTGATCTGGAAGCCAGTCTAAAAGAACAAGCAAGCCAACAATTAGGAAACAAAAGAAGGATGCACGGAAGGTATGAAAAGTGATGGCTTGCCACGCTAGGCTTAGTATAATAATGCCAGGGATATATACGCGTTGAAGTAATATAAAATGTGACCGCGAACAAATGCGTTTTAGCAAAACATCTATTTGGGTGAGTTGGTAACAACTGATAATAAATGCGGAAATTCGGTTGCAGTAAAGAAAAGGGAAAACATTGCACCTGAGTCGTCAGTCTGTTCTCTTGACACTGTTTAGTACTCTGCCCCATTATTTTATTTCCTTTAAAAGGAATTTAAAAGAAGGCTGCTTCGCAATGTTCTGCGTGGACCAGACCAAGTGGAGTCAAAGCTGGTTCCTCTTTGTATGTAGATGTGTTGTCTGCCGCAGATTGCTTAAGCAGCTTAACCTTAGGGACATACGACAACACCGTTCTATATAGAGCCGTTAACTAAAGGTGAAGGTCCCTTAAAAAATATTGCATGTGTCGCAAGTTATGTACCGACACATTACTAATCAGAAAGCATTCTCATGTAAGGCTGGAGAGCGGTGGTCGTCGCGACTTTAATTAATGCTGTGGCAGCTGTGCTCCCAGAGATTTATTGTATCTGAAGGGTGCCCGGATTATACCAAAAGCACACCTGTGAAACCATATTCACATAACTCGAAGAGTATGTTCTGGTATGCAGGTGCAGGATTAAAACCCCAGAGGGTGGAAATTTCCGAAGCCCTCCAAAAAGTGTCCCTCATAACAATACCCCGATTTCACACGTTCTCCCAAACAGCTATAGTAAATGACCAACACGACTTACAGATCATTAAATGACCGATCTGGCAGTCCACTGCCGGAATGCAGTCGACTGCAAAAACGACTAAAGCCTCGCAGGTCGCTTGAGCTTCCCATCCTGCCTTCAAGTGTGTTCCGTCAGGTGGCTGATAGAGGTGGCTTAATAACCTACGAATACACGTAAGACAGAAGGGTGCGGGATAGCGGAAGCACATTTAGCTTCAACATGTAGTTTTTCATGCAATGTAACTTATCATGAGTAGCATATCACAAGTGAGACGAAAACAACATGGTAGTGTTCTTCATAATACCAAGCAGTGCAGCTAACTTTCACTAAGTAAATTCAAATAACACTAATTATCAAATGTACTATAACTAACGATGGTCTTCATATTTCCGCCTAGAAAACTGTAGATATGTTCCTATGCCTGGACACGGAAAAGATTGGGCGACGTTTTCTAACCCACACTGGCTTGCACGCACAGTAAACAAGTGTTACAGAAGCTACGAACGGTAGGCGCAAGCGAAAGCGGTGTGTTTAAAGGAAGAGTTTCAGATGTGGTGCATCTCTTGCTCGCGGATATGTCACGCGTCTGGTGCCCGCACTCACAATACGCATGCGCCCCTCTCCGCTTCTCTTCTACCGCATCCTTGTTCTTGCTCTCCTACTACGCATGCGTGTCCCCTTTCCTTTCTCTCCTCTACCACGCTCCCCCATCTCCTGCCTCGCAACGCCGATGCTTGGAGCTCTGCTAACCTACGCTCGTTTCTCTCTCTCATCTAGGCATTCCTCCCCGCAGCATCTCGCAAAGCCGACGCAGGCAGCGTCTCCTAGCCAGTTTCTTTACTGAAAAAACCGACTGCTCGCGCTGCACAACCAGTCACTGGCCAATCGTATATATATGCACTAGCTCTTGACTTCCAAGGTTGTGCTGGTGGCAGATTTCTGCAGCGCGTTGTTAAACAGAAAAAATTCGCAGCTTGTTCGCAAAAAAAAAAAATACACCATCTCTCCGAAGAGAACCATCGGGTGATGCGGATAATCGCGGGAGTTTCCAACAGAACGTTCTGGCGATGTGTGGTAATGAACTTACTTAACAACGTAATAACAAACAAACAAGGTTAACATCAAAGGTACCAGCGCAAACCGGTAAACACCGCCGTTACAAACACCATTGAAACTCATGTTCAGCATCATCCTTTGGTCTCTTTAAGGGGGAGGATGTGATTTCTTCGAGAAAAACTGTTACATGCAGGTATAGACATGGCTGTTCTAACTACTACACTTTTTAAAAAAATGAAGTGACGTTCTCTCCATTTGGGGTGGAACGGTGATGTCCCCAATGTTCGTCTTTAAATAGAGAAACGTTGCTCCTTCATCCACGCAGAAACGTGTTCCTCCGTATGAAAATCAACGTGGCTGACCCCAGGTTAGCGAAGCGAGCGAGTAGGCTTAGCAAATGCATCGATTCTCGGCTGATAAGGCGTAAACAGCACTGAAAGTTACAAACAACGGTCCCGCTGAGCTTGATATCGAACGAAATGATTATAAAAACCAGCAGACGAACCTGTAGTGATGAAAACATCGCGAAAGAGAACGACGGAGCAAGTAGGTTTCGTTCGGCTAGTGAGGTGACGTTCACTCTGAAAGACACGGATACTGTAAAGTCTTCACCCCAAGAATGCATGCTAGGCTTGCTGTATTTATTTCTCACAGATTCACATAGTGTAGTGACGTTATCTATGCGTTTACGGGGCCTCAAGTCACGAGATGTGCTTCCAAACCGTAGACTCGATCACAGCGAAACCATTCCGACTCAGTAGTGCAGCTTTGATAGATAGATGTTGAACGTTATATAAGTAGCTGGAGGTGTGAGAGCTTCATAGTCGTGAAGTAAATGGTAGCTAGCGCCACCTGAAGGGACTGAACAATACCAAAGAAGAAGGTTGCCTGCGGCGACGTACGCTGTCTACCCACCATCGCGGCTTTCTTGCGGATAATTCATGACTTAACTCATTCAGGATTACTCACTGACATCGGACGACTAATATATATATATATATATATATATATATTTCTATATATATATATATATATATATATATATATATATATATATATATATATATATATATATATATATATATATATATATATGCTGATTTAATGCATATAACTACACATGCACACAAGGAAGCATAATACGCATTTAGGGTGAACTCAATGAACAAGAGCACAATGAATTATTATAGACAGCGGCACAAACTTAGACGTGTTCATTTACACCCTACTACAATACGCACTAGCTTTTATAGCAATGAATTTCGACTGACCTTAGTGGCATAGGTTACAAGTAATTTTCTGTACACTTTTTTTTTACGTTTTCTGGCAATACCAAATTATGTGCCCACGTAAATATGTTATATCTGATGCTTAGGCACACGGAACTTCATTAACGGTTGCACAATATTTAACGTAATAATTACTAGAGCTTATCTGGTTTTTTGCGAAAATGATTACCCTAAGCCATTCATGGAAATGACCACGGCATTACGAACGCTGCGCCATCTCTCGACCACTGCCACAGTTACTTTTTTTTTCTTGAAGCCTCCGAGAACGCAAACGCTTGCCGCGCGCTATACGGAGGTCACGTCTTTTTTTATTCTTCCAATTGTTACTCGGAGAGGGCGCAGAATGCAGACCAGACTTAGTCTCCGTCGTGGTAGGTGCTCTGTGGCCGCGTCGACCTCGTTTAGTTGTTTCGTGTTAACGTTTGCTTATATTTTTTACGTGCTTAGCACAAGTGCGACCGTTAGCCATGGATACAGTACACCACTAGCCCTCCAATGAAAATGTTTTTGATGCAGTAACGACCGTTCTAGCAATGTATACGTACGTTACAACGCGGGTCTTGCGAGAGAAATAAGCGATTACCTCGATCCGACGGTATTTTTTCGTGAGCGATGGCAGTGGCTGTTGGCGTCGCGGCAGCTCTATTATTTGAGTGGAGTAACTAGCGCTGCAGTGCGCAAATTTACTATAACGTTACAGCATGCTGTGCCTAGATACTTTTTTGCTTCAGATGCCTCTCGCAATTCGCCTCGCGTGTCAACTTGCAGTCATAGTGCGTGCCACAATTTCGTTGTTAGCGCTGTGACTGTGGTGGTTACTGTTACTCTGGATTTGGAATACTCTTTTCACAAAGGTGAGTGAGTGTTAGCACTTACCTGCTGTGCACAGCTGCTTACTAGAAGTGCATTTAAGTTGAGTTTCTCACGACAAAGGAGAATCATGGACGAGAAAGGCACACTGCACGCGTGCACGATTCCGTCTAACCTCTCAGTGCTGGCATGGGTAGTTCAAAACGGATGTGATTGAGAATTTGGTTTAACTGACAGAATTCATTCGTTTGCTTTTCAC